TCTGAACCACTGGAGTTGGCCGAATAGGTACTAAAGCTTCCTGGCTGTGTGGGTCTATGTGGCCCATCTAAAGGAACGTTCATCTGCAGCGGCCTGCTCAACCCACTACCTCCCACCTCATTTGTTCCCCCATTGGAGACTCCAGACATTTCAGATAAGAAGCTGCTCAGGCACGGCCCGGGAACTGACAGTGAAGGTGAAGGAATCCTGTCCGTTGCGGGCGACATGTTTAGGCTGGGGTTGCTGGAGTGTTTAGGACTGGCCCTCTCACTGTCACCTGATTCTGGAGGCCCTGAACTGCCATCTCCACTGGACAGAGAATCAGACTTTCTCTTTCTTTTGCGGCGGAAGTTTCCATTGTCGAACATCTTTTCACAGTTTGGGTCAAGTGTCCAGTAGTTGCCCTTACCTAAATTATCAAGGAAGAAAATAAGACTTTTAGAATGGAAGAGACGTAAATAGATTCCATTAAAGTAATTCAAAGCACAACCATAACTATGCAAAATGCAAAAATTACATACCTGGGTCATCCTCATCTCTTGGCACTTTTTTGAAGCAGTCATTAAGGGACAGGTTGTGTCTGATAGAGTTCTGCCAGCCCGCTTTGCTCTTGTTGTAGAAAGGGAAATTATCAGCGACGTACTGATAAATTTGACTCAGCGTCAGTCTCTTGTCTGGTGCTCCATGGATAGCCATGGCGATGAGAGCAGAGTAGGAGTAAGGGGGGCGAACCAGCTTCATCAAGTCTTCTTGTGAAGGGAGGGAGAACCAGCTCAGTTCCCCTCCTGGACCGCCAGCACCAGGTGGACCCAGGTAAGGCCTCTGCATGCCATAGTGCTGAGGAACAAACGGAGGGCCGGGATTACCTGGCGGGCCGGTGGTAGCCAGGTACGGCGATGTGTTGATCCCAGAGCTGTTAAACCATAGGTAAGGGTTTGAGGAGGAGCTGGTGTAGTCACTTATCTCATAGGTGGTAGGAGTAGTGCGCTGAGGACTTGGCAGTGAAGGAGGAGGGTAGTAACAGTCGCCGTACATGCTGAGTTCAGGGGGCTCCTGGCCGAGGCTCGGAAACTGCGGGCCACATCGAGGAGGAGACTGACTCTGGGCCTCAAATGAAGACATTGTCAAGTTTCTTCTCACTTCTCTGTCTCTTCTTAATTCTTTGCCTTTGATGGGTTTTCTTCTCAAGACTTCTCAGACTCTTTCTCTCCACTCCAAAAGTCCTGCTCTTTCTCTTTACTCTTGTCTTTGTCCTTGCTTGTATGTCAAGATGTCACCTGGCACACTTTTATCTTTTCCTCTGGAAACGCCCCCCTCTATTTTGATTGGCTGTTCTTTCAGGTGAGCTCATTTTTTTTCCTGTTGTCAGCTAGTTGACTACTTGAGTGGAAAAATAATTTTCCACTCATGGTGTTTGTCCACCATTTGTCATATTTTTTGGATATTACAAGGATACTATTAAGTTTAACCTATGGCAGACAATTTTGTTAACACCCTGGTTTATGATTTCTTTTTAATCTTTACAAACATTTCATGTCAAACATATAAAAGTAGACTACTTGAGTAAACGATCTCATTCAAAAATCCTTAAGAAATAGCCTCAAGGAAACAGTATATTGTTCATGAACAAAACAATATATTACATCAATATATATTGTTACACAACAAACAGGAAAAGTACTCACTTAATACTTGCCTCCAGCAGTAATGAGGAAAATGGACTGTAAGCAGATTCAGTTTATATAACTCTAGGGGGACGAGATTACCTCCTTGAAATAATATAGGCTTCCATTGCTGAATCCAAATGACCATTTATGATAATATAAAGAATACAGTCACCTACACTCTATTCGCATGATAGCAGGTTTTGTTACAATAGGTTTATTCAATTCATGTGTTAAAATAGTGCATTACTGTGTAGGATATTAAAACCTCATCACAGTTCAAAGTGAGCGTTTGTGACATGACAATGCGCATGCTTATTTTTTGCTTTCTTACATTAGCGCGAGACCCTTATTTTCCAAAGCAGCCGACAAACTTTCCTAAGGTAAGTTTATAAGTTTTGAACATTACCTTCAGACCCCGGCGAGAAAACTCAAGTTTACTAGCCTGCCTCGACAAATGTTACAACATCTTAGTTTTAGAAGTCTACTTTGCTAACTTTTTTTCTGCCCTAACATCACTTTGCTAACAGTAACAGGCTCGTTCCTAGCGTTAGCTAACGTTAGCTATTTTTCTGCGGAGGTGTTTGTAAAGGGAGACGTGATAAAATAAATAATACGTGTGCAATCAGGATGGCCGATTCGTCCACTCGCTCCGAGCTTCCACGCATCAGCGACGACGACATGCTGGCGATGAACAAGGAATTGGAGAGGATGATTGAAGACGTTGAGAGTATGTCAGGTATGGGACGTTAACGGTATTGTGGCATATTTAGAGAGGTCAATATGAGCTCAGATAGCTTGGGCGTGAAGCTTAGGTAACTAAAATAAATGTCTGAAACATGCAATGTCACTCTCTTCTTATCTGTCTGCCCGCAGCGCACCTGACCTGGATGGCCTATGATATGGTGGCGTTGCGGACTAGTCCGGAGCTGGGAGTCTCTATGCAAAAGCTGAAGGAAGCTTATCTCAAATGTAGAGCTGCGGTTTGCGGAGACCCTGACCAGGAGTCACAGATTGACAAATCTGCTGTGACTGCTGTCACAACACTTTCTCAGATGTGATGCTTATAAGAGTTTTGAGTTCACAAGTAGGCACTAGAATTAACAAGTTTTAACTTTTAAATGTTAACATTGAAATCCCAGCGGATCTGTTTGTTTTTGGTAGCTGGAGGTGGGCATTCATGCCTTGTTTAGTTCTGACTACTTGCACTAAAACAGTATTTTGATGGTTAATTATTCATTTGAATGGACTGTAATGTTTGTTTTCTCACTATTAAACTGCCCCGGTCTGTGTAATTTGTTTAGAAAGATTTTTTAAGTAAATTAATTAAATAAATTAATAAAAATTGAAATAAAAATGTGTTCTGTCATTTTTTTCTTTGTTTTTTGGAGCCCTACCCTAAATGTAGGGCTTTACTGTAAACAGTAAAATATGTGTTTTAGTTTTACTGTTATGGATGACTTTTAGCTGAAAAACAACATTGCCATTCATGATTGTCTGTCACATTTGATTTACCTTGTGTATGCTGATAGGTGACTGACTGTTTTTTGTGTGTATGAACTTCATTTTCAGATGGAGAACACAAAGAAGGTTGAAGAAGAAGCTACCTCTAACACCTGCATTGACCTGGTGAACATAATGAGAGAGCTAGATTCCCTTTCAAGCGCCTTGGATCGTCTGGCACGTATGTTTGACTCCCTTACTTGGTACTTCAAAAATGTCAGAAAACAATCATTTTTGCCACTAACATGGAGTTGCTGATCAATTTGCAAATATGCAAAGCAAATGATGAAACTCCTCTCCCAGATGTGAAATGTGATAACTACAAGGGCATTATGGGCTGGCTCAGCCTTGCTTGTCGGTGTCAGTGGTGCAGATCTGCGTGATACTACATGATGTCTGTCAAACTGTGCTCTGCTGATTGGTAGATAGGAGTAACTGAAGGGTTTTACACGTGGTTGTCCATCAAGCTCTTTGATGTGAGGCATGCAGCTACCTTTTTTTTTTTTTTTTTGCCATGGGGGACAGCTTTGTGCAACAACTGTCAGATCACTGTGACTTTCTTATCTGCTCACTTAAATATCTAAAAGCCTGGACCCAAATATATATATATATATATATATATATGCGTTTAATCTAAAATTATGTTTTGATATAGTACATTTTTGCAATGAATTAAGTTATCCCCAATAACAAATCATACGAGGTGTACTCAAGTTAATGCAAAAGTGTTTTAGGTATAATATTTTTGGAGTGGAAAGTGGGCAGCACGGTGGCACGGTGGTTAGCACTGTTGCCGCACAGCAAGAAGGTCCTGAGTTCAATTCCACCATCAGGCCGGGGTCTTTCTGTGTGGAGTTTGCATGTTCTCCCCGTGTTTGCGTGGGTTCTCTCCGGGTACTCCGGCTTCCTCCCACCGTCCAAAGACATGCAGCTTGTGGGGATAGGTTAATTGATTAATCCAAATTGTCACTAGGTGTGAATGTGTGAATGGTTGTCTGTCCCTGTGTGTTAGCCCTGCGACAGACTGGCGACCTGTCCAGGGTGTACCCCGCCTTTTGCCCTATGACAGCTGGGATAGGCTCCAGCGCCCCCCGCGACCCTGAAAAGGATAAGCGGAAGTGGATGGATAAGTGGAAAACATTATTTCACTTCTAAATAAATGCAAAGGCTCGATTAATGTTCATTATATATTTCTTTAATTGTAAAATAGTCACACCAATAGTTGTTATCTTTTCACCAAGCTTATTGTTGATGGTCTTGTAGCCCATGACAGCCTTGTACAAATCTACAGTGTTGTCCCTGATGTCCTCTGACAGTTGTTTGGTCTCACCCATTTTGGTGGAAGAAATTAATTCTGTAGACAGGTGTGCTTAATATACATAATGAGTTGAGCTCAGGAGTATCTATAATTGTTTGACTGATTAAGTGTCACATGGGGGCAACCTGAGTTCTGGCTGGATTGTATGGGATCAAATACATATCTCACTCAGTTTTTGGTCTATATCTTTTGACTTATTTGAGCTGCCCTGCTAAGTCCTGATGTACTAAATAAAGGACAAAAGTGTCCATCAGCACATCTCTCAGATTCAACAAATTTTGCTTGCATTACATTTCTATGTAAATCTAGGACACAAAAACATATGTTGTTGTCAGTCACACTGAATTAGTAGTGCTGTTTGAAATAGCAAGACAAACGAGAAAGCAACCTAATATGTCAGTACATGTTTTGTGTTTCGGTTTTAAATTCAGACTGTGTGGTTTTAAAGTGTAATAATATTTGATAGATCTGACACAGCTGTGAAACAAGATATTTGCTTTCTGCCGGCAGTGCGAACCAATCAGAGACAATGTGATCTGATCGTTTGTGTTGGCCACCCTGACAAGTTGGCGTCTCTAAAAATCCAAGAGGCAGTGAAGCAGCAGTCCTCAGAGGTGTGAATAAAGGAGGTAATGCTGTGCTCCTTTGTGAACAAACCATGACCCATGTAAGAAAAAAAAATACAAGTGAGAGCAGCACAAAGATGAATTGCATAACAGTGACCTTTGAGAGTGAAAATTGTGACATTTGCTTTACATGTTCTTAAAAAGATTTTGAATAGGCCACGCATGCATGCATGCACACAGATTAGCATATATGAGCACAGAGAAAGGTGCGAACACGCACATTAAAACTGTTGTCAGTGCTGGTCAATGTCCCGTAGGGTGCAGCAGACAACTCTGGGGGTGCTCTTCATGACTCTGGTCTGTGGCATCAATGAGCTGCAGCGGGGTGTGTGTGTGATGGTTAATCAGCTCCTTCACCCCAGGGAAACTCTGAAGCACAAACAGCACACACAAAAAATGACGGGGACCTAATGATGCAGTGCAGCACAACTTAGCATCACACATTCCCCGAGGCGTGCCGCAAGATGTGAACAGTTTACTTTAAGCGAGCATGTTGATTTTTTTTTTTTTGTAACATTACGCTGTCATTGCTTCCAGTTTACCTTGGTGTTTTTGAGGCCACTGCCGAGAGTGTAGCCATTGCCTTGGTGACGGATCTTAATGTTGTAAACCTTGTCTTGATACAGCAGCATCAGGGTGAAGGGGTGCTCGACTGAGCCGTTAGAGCTGTCCCTCACCACAAAAGCACCATCCTTAAAGATACATACATGTAAATACACAAACCCATACATTCACATTATGCATCCAGTAACATTTCAGATGTGTGTGTGTGTGTGTTTTTCTGTCTGCTTTAGAATGAGAAGGTGCAACATCTGACCTTGTTGACCTCCCGAAGAGCAGCCTCAGCTTGGTGTCTTGTCAACTTTCCTCCATACCAACTCGAATCCAAGCCCTGAGCGCACCATGATAGAACAGTCAGTGTAAGTGTAGCGCTATCACAGACAGTTCCAGTTAGACTAGTTAATAAAAGGCAGTTTATAAGATATAAGCATCTCTGTTGTTCTTTTTCTTTGTACAGCATTGTGATCTGCTGTTTCCTTTCTGAAAGTGCTCATGATCTATAAATAAAACCTTAATTGGACCATTGGGTTTTCTCACATTTGTATAAATAACTTAACGCACTTTTTTTTTTAATACCTTTTTTAGTCTTGGTGTCGAATTGTATTCTTCTGTAGATTGTGTCACTACTGAAGGTTCTGGAATTAATTTACTTGGCCTGAAAGAGGAGAGATTCAACACACACAATTATTAAATAGTTGCATTGAATTAAAGTGAACGTCTTTTTATGCTCATAAATTGTTCAGGCTGTTCTACCTATTGGACACATCAGTAGGCACAGGCACCTTTGGATGATGAAGTTTGCTGATAGTATCTTTTACAGCACTGCCCTCTTGTGGACATTGTTGATGGTGTGAAATAGAAATGATAAACATTGAGACAACAGTGTAACACTTTTGTAGGACACCTGCTATAACTATTCCAGCATGTTGTAGGTTGCATACTTATTTTTGGAATGTCTTTCTGGGATGATCCAGGCTTCTTGCTCCGGTCTATGTGCACACTTGCAGGCACTTATAAATAAAAAAAAGAAGAAGGGAATCTTTCAATGAAATGGGTGTACAACACTCATCATAACTGGTAAATTCAGCTTGTTGATTCAACACATTTTTGTTACCTGCTGGTTTTAACGGTCTTTGGAGGATGTGATCCCCTCTTGGGGTTGATGGCAGTGGAGGTTTGAAGGTTCTTTGAGAGAGTGGTGGATCAGGAAGAGGCTCTGTGCACATGTTATCATACATTCAGGACACATTAATGCCAGTTCTGGTTTCAAAGCATACTAGGTAAAGGAGGAGCAGGAGAATTAGCTACTTCCAAAAAATATAATAAATAAATAGTCAAACCTTAGAAGAAATTGTACAGTGTAGGTAGGCATAACATGCTGCATAAAATTCTCATCACAGAAACCTGTAGCAGAGCTACATTTGCAGTGCTACAGCCTCAAAAAAAGCAGCATAATAATGTTAGCAAACCACAAATTTGAAGTCATTCCTCTTTTTACCAGTGAGTCACACTAGTCAAAGCAAATGTCACTGATTGGTGCCACAGTCTTGAGTCAGCCTGGGGGTAAAGTGTCTATTTTGTTTGGCTTGAAATTAGTCTTTGTTTTTGTCAGTCTTGTCTCAGACTAATCTCTGAGCAAAAATAGGGCTGCTCTACCCATACAGACAGGTCTAATATAGTCTAGTATCTCTGTGAAAGTATCCCCAATTCATATAGGCACTGAGATGCTTTCATATATAACTGCATTTCTTTATACAGTATTATTCTGAATTGCTCTCCTTTACCTCTTTGACAGTCTGGAGGTTTTGGCCCTCGGGGGGGTCTTGGAGGCTTCGCTAGGTCTCCAGCAGCAGGCTGCTTGTACTTTGCTTCACTTGTCTTGTCCTGTCCTGGTTGTTGCTCAACTACACTGCAGTTGTAATTCTCTGCTTCGTGTTCTGGACCCTCATAGATTGGATCATCGCTCTCATTGTCCTTACCGCAGCCCGGACATGTGATACAAGCAGAGCGCATGAGTGCAACTCATGACAAAAGCAACTTTTTAAAAAAATTTCACATGACGTATTAGGTGCGTAATTAAGCTGTTAGGTGCATACGTACAATTGCTTGTTAAAACAAATATCAACTTGGTAATCACGTTTACAGAAGTGCATGTAGGCATGCAAACATCTTGAAAGCCACCTGCTGAATGTGGCATGATTGTTATCGCCTTGTCTGAATATTTCAGAAACTGATGAACCCCTGGGTTTTTCCCCTCACATAGATAAAGGATTTACAGAAAATGGTCAGAAAAAGAGAAAATATGCAGTAAGTGGAATGTCCGAGTTCAAAATGGTAACTAACTCAGCAGTAATTCGATACAACCAAGTTATGCAAAAGAGCATCCCTGAACACACAACACATTGAAGCAGATGGGCTGCAGGAGAAGAAGACGACTCCTGTCAACTAAGAACAGGAAACTGAGGCAACAGATCACACATCGTCATCAAAGTCAGGCAGTAGAAGATTTGAAAAACATCTGGTCGAGTTTGGCTGCTGCACCACGTCACAAAGCTCAGATCCTCTCAAACTCAACGATTAGAATCAGAACCAACAACTGCAAAATGCCATCATGTAAACATGGACTAAAATCTCTGAGGAATGTTTCCAGCACTTTGATGCACTCTGTGCCACAAATATTAAGTGATTCTGAAAGCAAAAGGGGGTCCAACAAGCAAGCAAGGGGTGCCTAATGAAGTGGCTAGTGTATTTACTTACGAACTCATCAGATTCCCAAACGTCTACTTCTTGTACAAATACTGTAGTGAAATAAATTGTAAAAAGAGGACAGTGAAGCCTTACGAAAGATGGTAGCACAATGTTACAGACACGGTTAAACTGACCTTTATCTTGTTTCGGATACTTCAGCGGTTTTGATCTGGACAAAAAAATAAAACAGACAGGTTTTTTTTTATGTTCGGTGAGCAACTGTTTTAGAGTCAGCTGAAGATATTAATAGTGTATGTAGTTTACGCTCTTACTTGTGACTAGTAGCCTTCTTGCGCTCTTCTTTGTTGATTTCAGTTTGTATCTTAGTAATTACTCTATAAAGGTGCAGCACAGAGACAAGTAAAATATTATCAAAGATGGTAAGTATCACTATATTATTTATTCATTTAGGGTCCAAAATACTTAATACAAAAAAACATGCAACCAATCAATATAATGAACCTTTTCATGTTTTCAGAGATATTAATTGTTGGGTAATTTGTCAGTGTAAGAAATACACTTTCAGTTAGACTCACGGGACAAAGAGGCAGGGGAACACTTGCAGATCACACTCTGTCATATTCTACATGACATGGATTTGGAGATCATGAAAGTCAGATTTATTGTGATTTCAGAATAATAAAAAAAGAAATGTTACACACACACACACACACACACACTTACCATAAACTGTGCTCCATCTATGCTGCTCTTTGTCACTACTCTGTCACAGCCTGGCAGTTTAAGCTGAGAGGAGAGTGAAGCTTTAAGCACATTTAAACCATGCAAGTTTTCTTGTTTGTTTGTTGTTTCCTTAAATTAGCGTGAAATGCTACTTTTTAGATAAGGTGTTACCAACTAAAACAAGGCGTGAATGAAAAAGCAGGAAATATATCTTTTTCTTGGTTAAAAAGTGAGCTTTTGTTTTTGCAAATTATACAGTCGCGCTTATCAGATGTTCATAAATAATGTTAATCAAGAGACTACAGTACTTGGAAGGTATAAACATCTCTACTTTCACCTTCAAACTAGTTTTAATACTCACCTTCCGCATGTAGTCCGCTAGAGTTTGGGGATTCCATCCCATCACCTCTGCTTTTGAGGGAACGTTAGAAAAATTCATTCTTGTCTGTTGTGAATGATAACTTACACTTGATAACACAGTGACTTTACTTGCCAGCCATCATCTTACTCATCACTGTGAAATGATCGGTCTAAAATTACCCCTGCTTAAGCACACTTTAAGAATGCGTGTGTTTTGTTTTTTTTATACTCTCTCACCTATTGTGTAAGAGAGTAAAAGGCTTCTGTGGTCAGAAAGCTATGAATAGAGCATGCATGCACTGCAAATGGTCGATCTGTAAACACAGAGGCTGTTGATTTCATTTCTAACACATGGTTAAGTCTGCTCAAAGTTGATTGTCAATTTTTAATGGACAGCAGACTTGCAAACTGAAATGCAAACTCGGGATAAATACTGATGCTTGGATTGTAGATGTTGCGTCTCACATTGTGAGTTAGGGCACACACACACACACACACACACACACACACACACACACACACACACGCTTTTATTACCATTCTACCTTTTAGTCTTATTGTTGGTTGTGTTCGGTCTTTTTTCCCACCTGCAGCTTGTGTGAGACCTCTTGGTATCTCACACCCTGGTGATAGAGGAGGGCAGCAATGACAAGGGGTGATCAATCACGCTCTGACCCCCCTGAGCCACTCTGGGAGAATACACAAGTTCCCCTGGGGGGTCCTTGTGGCAGAACCCCCTACCTCTGTTTTCTTCTTTTATCCTGAATTGGAAACATACCCCTGTGACATGTAACTGCCACCAAATGTGGTATAAATAATAAAAAGTGATGGGTCAATGTAAGTTCTTCCTTAAAAAAAATATTCCTTTACTGAGTCTAAAATGTTTGAAATGCTAAAATCATAAAACTCCTGAAAGATAAATAAATGCAGTTTAGTGGGTGAAAAAAATGTCGAATGCAGGGTCTGCTCAGGGGCATCTCACTTGTAGAGTGAATCCAAGCACAGCTGAGCATCATATGGGAACAATATGGCACCAGTAATGTATTCACTGGAGAGTAGAGATAAAGCGTGAGGGCCTCCAGTGGGGCAAAACCTTCATTAACGCACAGCAGGACAGCATGGGAAATACGGGACATCCCTAGAGGGGAAACAGACAAATGGGAAGTGTGGGAGGGAGCGTTTCAGGTCGGTGAGAGTGTTATTTGTTTGCTTCTGCAGCCAGGAATTTAACTTGATGTTATGCTTCTTTGATCCTTGGTTGTGTTAAAACCCAATTTTGTCCCCAAACAGTACATAAGCTAACAGTAGTCTGTTTATTTGTAGAATTGTGTAACTATTTGCCACAGTGTTTGTGCTTAGATTTAATATGACATGCCTAATTTCACATTGCAAACATGGGTGAAAACTGAAAAAGTGGAATGCATTCGCTGTTTTGCCCCAGGTCTCGGGGCTTTATGATGTAGAGACACCAGATAGTCTGATAATTCATGTCAGAATTTCTCACTTATCTCTGTTTTTTTTATTGGTGCAACAGTAACTGGTCTGTAAAGATAGTGAAACAGACCTGTCACCAGACCCATAACTGTTAACATTCCCTCCCCCTACGCCTTCCCCTCCAGCCATGGGCCCCCTGAAGAAGGTAATATCCATGCCATCAGTCATTTAGTGGAATCTGTGGCAGATTTATGACACATCCAGCTGAGAGGCAAGGTTTTGGAGATACAGGGGGTACAGGAGAGAAAAACCGACATGCCAGCAGAGATAGATCTAATACTAATACCTAATTACTTGCAAATGATAAGATTAGAAATCATCTTGCTTTTCAGGGGAAAAAAGTGAGTCATGCTTTTATATAAGTGTCTGATTGCATATACAAGATTCATGTAACAGCGAATAAACACCAGGCTTTAGCTTTATTGTGTTGAGACACATTTGCATTCCATTTGGAATGTGACAAAGACTAGCGTGGGCAATGGTGTCGCCGATTACCAACCAAACACTGTAACTTGAATGGTGGAAGCGCTTCCCTAATTTGTCTTTCAAAGGCTCTTTGCTCTTTGAATAAAAATCAATCCACATTGACATCAAAGTGGTGGCGGATAAACGCTGGATCGACACCTCGGTGTGGCGTAAGCTGCACGATGTTATCCCTGTAATCCCCCTTTTAAAATGCATGCAGTTGATTCTTATTATGTGCGTGCGCCGTGTCAGAAACTCTGGTGGCCCTCTTCTAGAGAAAAACTGAAATTGTAGATACAAATATTTAGAAGTTATTTTTTTTACATTTTTATTTTAATTACAGCATTCTTAATAAATAGACACCAGGATATTATAGACGAAAGAGGGGGGAAAGTGCAAACAGACAATTCCATAAACGCAGTCGTTTTCATTTGGGTCCACGATCTCTTCGTTTTCCATCCCCACCGTCCTTCCTGCCGCACACGTGTTTGACTGTAACGTGGGCGCAGTCCTCGCAGTGCACCTTACAGCACCAGTGGAATTTGCAGTTACAGCTACTCATCACCTCCGTGCGCTTTTCTTCCACTCTCAGGCCGCATTCGTGACACAGCCTGCGGCAGCTCCTTCTTTCCCCTTGCGTCAAGCCCTGTCCGTGCAGCAGACACTCCCTGCCCTCCGTGCCGTGCGCCCCCAAGCTGGCGTTCTTCCTGCAGTAGTCTGGAGAGTCCTGTAGGTAGATGAGCTCTGACTGTGCGATGCTGCCGAGCGCGTCCATGATGGCACCTTGGATATCCGCGCTGTTACCGGCGTTCATGCGCTTTTGGTCGATGTCCAGCTTTTCAGCGTGACTGTACTTGATCCTCAAGTAATTGCCCACGGCTCTGAAATCGGACAGCTGTGTCCAGCAGGTTTTGACACTGCAACTCTCAGACATTCCGTGGCATCTGCAGATACGCGTCATTGTGTCTTTCACGGCCTGTTGGAAACAAGGTTCTGTTAACGGCTGCTGATGCCTTAGCGCTGAGTGATGAAGGGTTAGTAAAGAAGTGCGTGTCGTTTGAAAACAACTCACCAATCGGCCAGCCGCGTTGTTGTGGAGGTTGACAGCAGCCCTAGAGTCCTGACCCGTCTCTTCCGCATCCACGTACTCTTTGGAAATCCTCTCTCCAAACTCCACGTTAGCACTGCAGCCACCCCACAACCATCCGCGACCGCCTGCACGACACAGTTTTGAATACTTAAAGATCATTAATTAAGAACTTGCATGTTGACAAATGGCGCTGTACGTTGACTCACCAAGCTTTCCGTTCTTTGAACCATCGCAGCCACAGTTTTCGAGTTCACCAAGACTGCAGTTCCTGGTCAGAGTGTACATGACCCCTGCTGAACTGATAGCATGAACGAAAGCCGTTTCTCTGGTGGCTGAATGAGAGGAAACATACAAGGTCTACTGCCACAGCCTCTTATAGGAGAATACATAACCAGCATTGACTAATAACGTGTAGAATGTTGCATTGTTTTTATTATAACTCTGTGATAATCAAGGCCACACTACAAAGGTACAAAGAAAAATAAAGTGGTATAAAGGTCAACATGTCCAAAGGTCACCAACTAAATCAGCATCAAAAACATGAAAAATAGATCCACATCCATGGGTGTGCGTGTGCATATTCAAGCACGGGTAAAAGAGTATTTTAAAGACAGGTCTGGCCAGGCGCGTAGCAGAGATTGCAACAAGTCTAACAATAGTTCTGTAAAGATATTTTAATTGATTTAATTGCTTTAATTAACACATAAAAAGCATAGAAACACTGGAAATTAATTTTTGGCAAGAAAATCTGGGAAAACCAATCATTTGGTTGGAAATGCCGAATAAAACTTGAGGCTCAATAGAAAAACAATAACTACCTCGTTTCAGTCCTTTAAGCTGGGTTGCGCTGTCGGGGCAGTTCCATCTATCCCAGGCAAACTGGCGTTTGCACTCCTGGACGCCAATCTGTGTGCCCACCTGCACGCTCTTTGCGTAGGTGAGATAGTCCTGCAGAAGAGGCAGTGACAGTCTGTCCTTTATTTTGTTTTTATTACATTTGAAATGTGGAAAAAAAAATGTTGCCACAATAAAAGCAATCAAATATATATGTATATATACCTTTGACCCCGTCATCAGAAAATTGCTTGCGACCCTGAGAACAATAATAATAATGATAATAATAATAATAAAAGTCATATAATTCTGTCTTCTGTTCACTTATTTTAAAGCATGCATGCAACTAGTGTATACATGTCTTACCAAGCGTATCCAGGATTGATTCTACACGAAACAAACAGCAGCCAAAAAATTGATTGCGCCATCTTCACCTATCCCGTTGTCGTTATCCTGCTTATAGAGATGTAGGTATTTTGACCCCGTGTGCTGCAGCTTTGTCCTTTACTTGACTGAGGACCAAATAAGTCTTCTTCTTTGTCTTAGAGACCCGAGAAAGCTGATTGGGTGACTGGTTCAGGAGACGCCTATTCGCACTTCAAAGGTTGGCATTAGGAAGTAATTTATTTACTTCCCAAAGACTGTATGACACCAAGGCACCCGCATATAAGACTAAAAGACTCAGAATTTTACCACCGACAAACTGGGAGGCAGTTACGTGTATTGTATAAAAATATTTATTATTTTAAATAATTATTAGGTAGACTTTTAAATATTAAACCAATTTCAGTAGTCACACGTGATAAACAGCGAACAAACATCCTCGGAACTCCCAAGTTCCCAACACTGCTACTGTTGCTCCAATGCTTGGAGATTTTGGTCCACAAGACAAAATTTGACCTATACACACTCTATTCAAAACTAAAGGGGGGAAAGGTGCTTTAAAGGACTTTAGCTAAAAAATGTAAATAACATTCATGTGATGCAGAATAATTTCTCATGTAGGTCGTAAATATAAAACTGGTTAATATGATGAAAGTCATATTTATCGAATAATGTGAAGAGTTCAAATTTTGCAAGAGATCCCAGTCATCGTTGATGCGCACTGTTCCTGCCTTTTTTGTTCTTTTTCCTCCCACTTTTGTGCGCGCAAAAGTATTTGGCTACAACTCGCTTGCATTTTTCACACTTGACTGTGCAACACCAGTGAAATTTGCAGTTGCAGCTGGTGAAAACCTCTGTGCGCTTCTTCACCACTTTTAGGCCGCATTCATTGCACAATCTGCGGCAGCTATTTTTCTCCCACTCGGACATGTTCTTGTCCTCCTTAAAGCACTCCCGTCCCTCTGTACCGTGGAGTCCGAGGGTCTGGTTCTTGACGCAGTAATTTGGAGAACTCTCCAGGTAAATGAGTTCCGTTGTAGCGACGCTCAAAAAAGTGTGCGCGACTGCGTCTCGGTTGTCCGCGCTGTTCACTGCTCTCGCCGCTTTCTTGTCCATTTCCAGTTCCTTTGCATGTTTGTACTTCATCTTCAAGTAGTTGCCCACTTCTCTGAAATCGGCCATCTGCATCCAGCAGGTTTGGATGGTGCAGCTTCCAGATACTCCGTGACATTTGCAGGCTTTCCTCATGGTTGCTTTGATTGCCTGTCGAGAGCACAAACGTTTTACCAAAAATAAACAGAAAGCCAAACAAAAACAACGATCTCGTTTTTCATTTATTACGCTGTGTCAGAACACTATTGACATAAAAAAAACCGTCAATAATATTAAGATCAAATCTTACCAGTCTGCCTGCCTTGTTGTTATGCAAGTTGACCGCTGCGCGCGAGTCATGCCCATCTTCCAGCGCGTCCACAAACTGTTTGGAGATCTTCTCCCCAAAAGCAACATTGTCACTGCATCCTCCCCAAATCCACCCTACACCGCCTGAGACAAAATAGCACATGACGTTATTTCGCTGTAGGAATACAAGCCAATTTAGAAATCGCTTACTGTAACCGCGGATAGAATGCTCATGGAATACATGTTTACCCGGCTGTCCAATTTTGGAGTCATCGCAGCCGCAGTTGTCAAAGTCCCCAGCCGTACAGTTCTTGGTGAGCGTGTACATCACTCCGGCAGCGCTGATGGCATGGACGAAAGAAGTTTCCCTTGTGGCTAAAATAAATAACAAACAAAGAAATCCGGATTTTTTTACTTGGATATCCAGTTTGGCACGAATAATGCGTAACTGATGAGTTCTAGTTTTGTGCGTGAAAAGCACTTTACGCACAGGCGCTTCAAGATTGCTGTCAAAAAAGCGCACGACCTCACTAATTTTAGTTGCCATAGATTTGATTCAAAAAGAGTTCTTACCACTCCGCATGCCGTTGTGTGGGGACAAAGAAAGCGTGTTCTCTGGACAGTTCCACTTCTCCAAAGCGAATTGGCGTTTACACTCTTGTATCCCACTCTGTGCGCCCACTCGTACGCTGCTGGCATAGGTCAGATAGGCCTTGGATGAGAAAGGAAAGGAAGTTATGAATATTAATGTTAGTGCTAATTACATAGAATTTGGCTGGAAGGAACAGCTTTTACGCAACACTCATTCTTAAAATCTTAAATGGTATTACCTTAGGTCCAGTCATCAAGAAATTATTCATGGTCCTGTTGAGGGGAAAAAAGATAGCTATGTTAAACCTGTAAGTTATTTTACCAATTGCAAACCCATAGAAACTATAGCATTTACAACTTTCTTTACGAGAGAAAAAAAGGACATACCAAGCAGATGACAGCTGAAAAAGACAACACAGGAACAGAACCAAGACTGCAGAGAAATTCAGTGGTTGCATAGCGTGTGTATTCCAAGCAGAGGCTAGTGTGACGTATTCCAGATGTGAGCGCCAAGAAAAGAAGGAGGCGACTGAAGTTTGTCGCCCTACTCGGCGCTCATGATATTTATATGGTCGTGCCCCCTTTGACAGACAGATTTGTCCAGCAAGTAACATTTTACTGTGAAATGCGTCAACGACATTGGCTGGGGCTTCCCATGGACAAATAGGAACTGTCGGTGCATAAGTGCACTTCAAAGAAGCAACGCAGACGAATTCACCTGTTGTTCGCAGGCTCTGATGCTAATTATAAAAACAAAGTATATGCATGGATTTAAAGTATATGTATGTGTGTCAGTATATGTGAATCCATATGAGCACTACGTATAGAATAATTAAAACCATCTTCTAATAATCCCCCGGATTTGGAGACATTTAAGAATAAAAGTATTATTTTAGACTAATAGAAGATCATTATTCACACAAAAAGTAATCTCTGTATGGGTTCATTGTGGTGATTATTGTTCATCTTTATGTGCACACAAATCGAAGATAGCTTAGCTAAAAGATAATATAAATAGAATCACTTGAAACATGGCACCAGTATCCCATGGGGACACTGGGTACTACAAAGCCTTACAGCTTTTCAGGAGTGACAGTATATAGTCATGTAAATACCGCCTCACACATCGGCGAAATTGGCACCGTTGTGATAATAGGATAATAGATGTTTCCCTGGGAAACAACTTGGTGCGAAAACAGTCTGGGATTTACACGAGTAAAGACACATAAGACACGTAAGGGCTATGACAATTAAAATGTAGCATTGCAAGGTCATTTTATTTCATAATATGTTTAGTTTGACTTTTGATAAAATATTAAAAAACTGTAAGTTATATGCAGGTTTAAGCATTGGATGATCCTTTCAGGCTGATCACGTTTAATCCCGCTGATTCGCTTTCTCGCTTTAGCCCACATAATCATGTCCCTCATCAAGGAATCATCACCACCAGTTTCTGTCTTTTCATACTTTTACTTGCGACTTGGACAGCGGACTTGTCAGATCCCCTTTAAGCCACTCAAAATCCCTTAAAACAATAATTCACTCAGCCTGCACAAAAAGCGGAGAGGTGTAGATAATCCCCACTAATTAGATATCAGCTAAGGTCGTGACTGAAACCTACAGCTCCCCTCCCCACCCCACCCCCGGTCTGACTTACTCTCAAAAAGTTGAGAATAGTAGAGAACAGCTTAAGCCAATAGAGAACCTTTAACGATATTAATGGATTTACTGATAGAAACAATCAATCTGGGCGTGTCTACATGACGACATAAGTATCGAAACTCAGGACTACAGATCAGGACAAAACACCGGGCTTATTGGGTGACATTTTAAACGAATATTGCAAGGAGCACATAGAAAATTTCTTTTATTTTTTTTTACCCACCACCTTACACACTTTGGGAGTGAGAACGTGTTGCACACACGTACCCTTTTAAGTAATTGACAGTGGTGAAGTGAATATGCATTAGTAAAACTGAGCTAAAATAAATTTCGGACACAGGAGACCAGTGAGAGTTGGTGAATGGCTTGCAGTGTGAAGTACGAGAAGTGGGTCTATCAAGACTCGGGAGGTGAGAAGTTTGACAGGCGGAGGCAGGGTGACAGGAGCAACACCCGCAGGCGGAGATTTGGGTTTATAAATCACTGATATTGAGTTTAGGGTGGGTTTACTGGTCATTTTTGGTGTCACCGTAATGTTTACTGAATAATTCTGAACATCAATTTAGAAGTCAAAACATAGCTGTAACCAGTGCCTTTTACAGGAATATGGGGAATGAAATTATTTTTCACACCATACTCAGTTTCACGTTTTTTTTCTTCCAACGCAGGTGATGCAATCAAATTTAACAATACAAATCATTACGTGCTATTGTAACGGTCCCCACCCCCATAGAGCTATTTCTGTCAACTGCTCCATTTAACTTTAATATTTAAAATGACACAATCATTTCAACAGGACAAAATGCTGTCAGTTAAAACAATACATACACTACCACTGTGGATAAATTAACAAAACCGTCAGCTTTGTTGACTGACTTTTTCTCCAATTTTAGTTGATTCACCGAGCTCAGCAGCAGACGTCAGGCGTTTAAGAGTCTATAAATATGTGAAAAGGCTGGTGTCTTTTATACAATCATGGTTTGGAAGTCCTAACTTGTGGATGGTGGTCAGGTTAGGGATGATCTTTGGACACAGGAGTATGGCTGTACCGCTATATTAATGCGTCACACTCCTGCGTGTATCATTAAGTGGAAGGGCAACAAAACTTCATAGCAGGGTTTTCTAAGTGAGGCATGTCCCATACAGCAGTCCAAGAGCATAACTGCAATTCGACAAAGTTGAAATGGAAGCTGCAGATCTCACCATAGCAGGGAATTCTGACGTTGATTATCAGCCGTGTTTAACATTGCTTAGAAATGTTTGTAGGTTTTTTTCTGTCTCCTGTAAAAATCTTACACTCTCAATTCTCTTCATTTTGCATTTATTTAGTTAGTGGTAGTTTTCACACTGAAACCGCAGCGCTTGATTAGATCATCCTTCTGTACACTGTCACAAATCTAAGCGTGAACATCAGCTTTCTGATTTTTTTTTAGACCATGTGGACATACATTTTTATCTTCACGTGGTCAAAAAAATTATTTTTTAGTTTGTTAGTGACTATTTCTTCAAATGTAGTGCAGTTTGTATTTTTTTATTTTACATGTTTGATACTTCTCTACCAAACTAACAATTAATTATATTCTATTCTAGAGCCAAGATTGACAGATTGTATTGGTTTAGTAACACCATAAAACCTAACGCTGTTCTATTTATTACATGAGCCTGGACCCCTGAATAGTTAGCGCTTGTTTTCTTAAAAAAAGGCTAAATGAATTATTGTTATGATTATTATAATTGTTTGTTATTGAAGACAGATTATTTTGTCTATCAGTCAAGTAATAGCAAATAAGACAGGGTAGCCTGAAATGTTAGCCACTGTGATAAACAAATTGGAATAATTTCCAATTCGGAATTATTCTGAACAGTTACTCAATTACTATATTTCTATTTTCAATATTGCTTTGTGTTTGTGTGTGATTAATTTATTATTTAATTTAGTAGTTCATGTTTAACATTACAAGAGTCAGCATAAGGGCATAAAAAGATAACACAGCTGCTTGAGGCCTCCACACCACCAGGGGGAGTCTCAAGCTCATTAAATGTCACACAAAACTAGCGGGTAAATGTATGTGTATATATATATATATATATTTTTTTTTTTTCATCCGTGGAATATAAATTTTGAACATATGAAACAAAAACAAAAATGAACCTTTAAGTAAGGTGAGCTTGGTTTATATTGTATGTGAATCAAAGGCATTATGGTTGGCAGCCTACCTTTAGCTTACTAGTCAGTTATAACAGCCCAGAGAACATGTGTGGTCTTTGTGTTTGGATTATGTTCCTAAATAACGATCGTTTTAACATAATGAAAAAATTCTATTAGCTAGTTCTTCGGTGTAAGATAATTGTTATTGCTCAGTAACTAACAGGTGAAAATGTATGTCCTTAATATTTGACTACCATTGTCCCATTATGAAACAGGCCTTTTGTTCTATAGACCAGCCTTATTTTGGACTCTTTGCTGTTATAATCCAGCATTGTTACACCTCAGTTAGCTCCGTGTTTTAATTTTTAAGACCTGCTTCTACTGCTTGATTAAAATATTTCCTCAGAAGCTTTGCTGAAATATTTCGGAACATAGAAAACAACATCTGCCTATGGTGCTTTCCAGTGCACTATAAGCCACGATAAGGGTTGTGTTAGGCGCACAAAGCACAAAAAATCAAGCATGGACCATATCTGGTTAATGGTGGGCTGATTAGCCACTAGCACTATATTTTCTGATCCCAAACCTTATGCTGGTTTATTGTAATCACATTAACATTAGCACTCTAACATACATTAATAGGTAAAACATACACCAGCATTATATTACATTTTTTTCTATATTTTAATGTGTGAGTCATTTGCTTTATTTCTTTGCCTCATAAATACAGTGTGTGTCTGTGTTTGTGATTGTCTTGATTTGCACATCTGTAAAAACGAGACATCAAGATACACAGGACTGACTGGTTCCATGTCTTCATTTTTATTTCATAAATAAAAGTAAAAAGTTGATTAAGAAAACATCCCACATGATTTAACTTCAATTACTCCCATGTCCATAACCAGCTCCCCACCAGCCCTATAGCCTGGATGCCTGCCTGTCTCTCTGTGCTACATCACTACACCACTTCCCAGTTTGGCAACATTGGAGACATGTTAGCTATACGCTAACAGCACAAGACAGGCACCCAGGCTGGAGTTTTAATATTGGTTACAGAGGCTCCCTTGTGAGGATGCCATATACCCTTAACAGCACCCTGGGGAGCTTAAGAGCACCCATTTCTGAAGACAATGAAAGAGATTCAAATACTGTAATAATCAAAAGAAAGTGCTTTTTGTTGCCGCATCTCAGCTTCTTTTCTTCGTGTGCTTGAGTCAAGGTGTGGCATCGCCTTTCCTCTCTTGCTCAATGGCTAGAAAAGAAGAGAGAAACACAACCGTTGGTAGGCTCTTGTTCAGTAAACGTGAACGGGATGTTGCTTTTTGATTTTGCTGTGTATAAAATGTGTGATGACATTGCAGCTGTTTGCTTCAGAGCTCCCGCCGGCTGACAATGCGGTCTCTCGATAGCACAGGAAGTGATGATGAGGAGCTACTGACAGTAACAAATGATTGCAGACGACGAAGCCTTTGTGGCTTCAACAGTGATCAGAAACACACGGCGCACAACGAGCACTCACTCTCTTTGGTGGGCAGAGGGTTTTTCTCTTTTGTCTCCGTCTTCTTCAGCTTCGTCTTGTCGAAACGAGCGATCTCAGTCATGTCAGGCTTGTCAGACATTTTGGCTGGCAAAGGTGAGAAAGATACCTGAGCACACACATTTGACCTTTCCTGTCGAGCCTTAAATTGATAATGCAGCATAATGTGATCAAAATCATTGTAGCAATCTGAAAGTTCATCGTAGGAGCCATTAAATCTGTGAAAGCTTTGTCTAGCCTTTAGAATAAACTCTGGAATGACTGTACATAAAGGGAGTGGCTACTACATGTGCTGCTCAGACTACATCCACATGGATGAACATGGGTGGTGGCTGCCTCCCACACGGCTTCACATTGGCTTCTCCAAAACGTAGATGTAGTCAACATGTGCTTGCGTTCACCCAGCTGTATTTTCTTTCCTTTGTCCCTGATTTTACTTCTCTAAGGCTAAAGTCTTTGTTCTCTCCCTCTGCATCATCTCTCTCTCTTTCTCTCTCTCTCACCCTACTGCATCCACCCCTGCAGCCTTGTGGATATAGGCAATGCTCCACAGGCTCCACTGCAGTTTTATTCCTAGGCTAGCCTCAGGTCTGACTAATCTGCCTTTCACAGTCTAGCCCAGTCATGCCTGTCTGAACTGCTGCTTTGTCAGAGTCTTCTGTGCAAATATGACAAGCCCACAAGCCTGCAGCAAGTCATTTACAAACCAAGCAACAGCAATCTCCTCACTAGTGTGAATTTGAATGGGGCCTAGGAAAATCACTTTGACAAAGAAATAGATATGCTTGGCACACATCCAGAATTTTTATGGCGCACTGAGTCATTTCTTTATCGCGACATGTATATACACTAAGCTTAGCATTAATATTAATATTAGCAGTGATATTCTCACCCTTTCCGATTCATTGTTAAATCCAATTATCCAAACAATTTGTAATATTGTATCTTTATCACTATGACCATCAGTGTCCTCAACATCCCTTTTTCCACATTTTTTCTGCTGCCATTGCCCATCTAGCCACACCCAATCCTTTGTCTGAGTCCTGGTAAAAAATCAGAACCAAAGAGAAACACAGAAATGAAGAGCATACTAAGAGATGAATCATTCTTACCGACGTTCCACGAAGCAGTGGGCTAAAATCCACCGGTGGAGAGAGTAGGGAGGGACAGCGATAGAGAGATGGAGAGAAGAGAGGGGCACGGAAGCTGAGTGATTCTGCCGGTGTGTGCACGCCTGCCTGCATCCAGGGTGTGGGTATAAGAGAGAGGGAGGGGA